TTGAGCGACTGTGCTAGAACCACGGAACTTGAAAATGCCTAACACCTTCTCCCGGGTTAACAGAATTCCTTATCCGGATTTCTGATACGCAGACTGTAATATGGAGTCATTCTTTTCCTCGATTCGGGATTAAATTGGTGACTTGGGACACCCTAAAATCTCCCAAGTGGCGACTCTGAAATAAATAAACAAATCCCGTTTCGATCGTCCTTTAATTGGAAAAAACTCCTACGCCCCTCGCGGGGGCGGAAAAAGGAGGTGTGACAGTGGGAACCTATAATGATGAATGGAGGGACTGGGTAATCAAGAGGGAGCTCTACTCATAACCTAGCGTATCTACCCCTTAAAGTAGCGGATGTACAAGCATCTATTTTTAAGAGCTTGCCGATTTTGTTGCTAATCCTTGCAAAAATAGTGCTATCATAAAACTCCGTAGGGAGCTGTGGTAGTCTTAACCAAACAACTGAGATTTGTAGTTTCTCCTTAGAGGCCACGAAATTTGGGACCCATTTCTTAACAAACAAGTAGTGGCCATTGATGAACCAAGGACCTTGGTGAAGGGCTTTGGCCATATTGACTTCTTGGGAGAATTTAACAATGTAGAAATCGTCACCCAAATCAATGAGAGGGAATTGTTTTGTGGGCTTCCAATGTTCAAGGAGTTTTTTCTTGAGGTACTAATGGAGAATACGCTTACCAAATAATTTGATTATAAGAGAGTATTTCTATGGCTCATAAAGCCTTTGCATCTCCTCTGAAGATAGAATAATTGCTTAGTCGTTGTTTGGAGGATCATCCTGGAAAGGAGCATTTGGCGTGTTCTCATAGCAATTATTAGTGACAGGAGCAGAGGAAACCTGCTGATCATACAGAAAATTAATTGGTTCTAGGGAGATGAGTTTTTCTTTAAAGGAGGAAAAATTCTCCTTAAGTGGTGCACTAGCCTCTGTTGTAGGATCTGGCGATTTTGGAGGTATGGTTATGTCTATTAGGGAAGGGTCTATGGTGTGCAGGGACATGGTTCTAAGAATGGAGGTGAAAAATAAGAAGAAGAGAAGTTAGAGAGAAGAAGGATGTAATTGAATGTAAAGTTCTAATAAGTACATACTAAGTATAGTAATTTCCACCTTGTAGTCTCTTCCCCTATTTATCCTTAAAAAAAGGAGTAAATACAATGCACAACAAAGCTAATAAACATGTTGATCCATCGATATACAGGCCAACGGGGCGAAGCTTACAGTTCAAGTTCTAAGCTAGCGTTTGCCCATAAATTTCCAAATTCATTTTTAAAAATTTGATCTGGATGAAATTTGATTTGAAGATGAAAATCAACAAAAATTTTCAAAACGTATTTCACTTTTTTTAAAAAAAAAACATTAAACGTAACTTATATCCATAAGTTCTAAAATCTATCAAAAATACTCAATAATACCAAACAAACAAATTTGCTAATCATGTATGTGCAAAACATTAATCGACACTATTTATTATTATTATCACAAATCATATATAGTCCTAAACATAGATAAGTTTGGCACAAAATTATTATTTTTATAATGAACTACATAATATTAGTTGGGTCATCAATGTCTGCTTAGCGGTAGCGTTCGAAGGCCTTAATGAATGTAAGTACTTTTATTTTGTGAGTTGCTGGAGATTTGAAACTTATCCTTTTATGCCTTTTTAAATATAATGAGACCATATTCTAAGAGTTCAATTATGAATCTTGTTGCATAAATACAGCTCTCACCTGTCTATGCCGAGCAGGTGCTTGTTGAAATGCTTCCTCGAAATTGACCTGAGGCAATATTACTTTCCTTTTTTTGGCTTCTGACAATGCTGTGCTTTAGTTTACTTTTGAGAGTGTTACATGCATTTCCATCAGTACATTCTTTATCTACTTGCTGCAATACTAGTTCTAAACTGCCTCTAAATCATTCACTTTCAGGGAAAAAAACGTGCAGGAGCCATTTTAGTCAGTAATCGGAGTAGTTGTTAAACTATGGACTGAGCATTGCCTACAACTACAATGTATAAAGCATGATTGCATTTTCTCTCGTAGCTTTTATCTTATGGGTAGGCAAACTACTTTGCTATCATATGTAAGAAGCAACAAAGATGAATCGTGAGAGGTAAGGAAATATGATAACTCAGGGTGGATACAATTAGAAGTAATAGTAAGAGCATACTGCAGGGAAGTGTTACAGGATGGAGGAATGAACAGGACACTGTGTCTTTGTTCTAGCAAAAGGACTGCAATAGAATAAGAAGCAAAAAACCTTTCTCTGCAATCATCTTGTGAACTTAATGACTGCCTCTTGATTTCCTCGCTGCCTTCTTCCGAGATGCTTCGCTAATGCTTATACTAGTTCTCCCATCTTGATCTTGCTGCTGAAATATCCTTAAAATCAATCTGTCAACTAGTTTGTTGTACAAGTGGTTCCATCTTTTAGAGAACAAAAGTGGTAGAACAATGATCCCGATGCCAACAACAAACCCTAATATAATGCTTACATAAATCTCCGTACTTGAAAATAGTTTCTCCTCCTCAAATTCTGGCTCTGAAGGTGCCACTGCCGAATCATTTTTGCAAGTTATGTTAAGCAAAAACCCACATAGCCCCTTGTTTCCGATGAAACTTTCTGCAAAGGTGTCAAATTGGGTACTTCGTGGTATCATTCCAACCAGTTCATTGTATGATAAATTTAAGAAGGAAAGAAATGTGAGGCTAGCAAGCTTTTCTGGAATATTTCCATCTAACTTGTTGAATGACAGGTCCAGTGATCCCAATTGCTTCAGATTTCCAAATGCTGGAGGGATTTGACCTGTGAGATTGTTGTGAGAAATATTCAGAAGATAAAGTGATTTGAGATCTCCAACTGTCTCTGGTATGTCCCCCACAAAATTGTTACTTGAAAAGTCAATGGAGGTGAAGAAAACAGGGATCTTTTCCAAAGTAACGTTTTGTCCTTTAAGAAAAAGACCAACTGTATCCTGATAGTAAATTGGCCTAACCGATACAGACTCAAAATACAAGTGATCAAAGCGTGAATGCGCTATAGCTGGATCAACAGTCATTGCATTTAGCTCCAAGAATGAATTTGGGGGCAGAATGCCCCCTAAATTATTGGAAGCTAGGTCGATTATCTGAAGAGCTGTCCAATTGGAACTCCCTCTAGAGCACTCAATGTCCCCATGGAAACCATTGAAACGTAATGCAAGTACACGCAAATTGGATAAGTTCCTCAACCAGCAGGGGAAGGTATCCTTGATCTTGTTGTTTCCCAGATTTATTAGCTTAAGATTTGTACAGTTGGACAAAGAACGAGGAAGCTCACCTGTTAAGTAATTCTGACTGAGGTCAAGGGTCTGTAATTGACAATTATGAGAAAACTCTCGAGGTATATTTCCTGTGAGATTGTTCTTTCTCAGGTTCAGTACTTTCAGCGTGTTGCTCTTTTCTGCTAAACATGGCGGTATTGTGCCATTCAAAGTATTGTTAGACAAATCAAGTACTTCAAGATAGCGCGCATTGCAGATTGAAGAAGGAATATTGCCAATAACTTTGTTGTTTGCAATTGAGAGGAACCAAGCAGTTACAAGATAATTGCCAAAGTCAGGCGGTATCATAGTAGCAAGGTTATTGTTGGAGAAGTCAATATAAGCAGCTGCACGTGGTGGTAATGGAATAACCCCAGTGAGTAGATTTGAATGCAGATCAAGGAAATTAAGAAGGCCAAATCTATAAGGTTCTTGAAAATGCGTGAATTGATTGACAGAAAGATTCAGAAAACGGAGAAGTCTATCATTGATCTCCACCAACCAGTTTGGTATTTCACCAGTAAGTTTATTGTTTGAGAGATCTAACATAGACAATCTGGATTGGTTCTTGAGGAAGGAGAGATTCTGCAGATTGCATGATCCCATCATTAAACTGTTCAGCTGGGGGAGCAAGGAAAGTTCCGATTCACTTATATTTGTGTCAACTGATAAACTGTTGTGGGACAGATCAAGATTTACAAGCTTATTGAGCTCTGTGAACTTCTTGAATTGCACAGTACCATTGAAATTGTTGGATGAAAGTTTAAGATCTAAGAGATCGTGCAGCTCAAAGAAAAACTCAGGTATTGGCCCTTCCAATTTGTTGGCACTCAAGTCAAGATCTGTTAGTGGAGAAGTCACATTTTGTAGTTCAGTTATTTGGCCAGAAAATTTGTTGTTGGACAGATCTAAACCTGAAAGTGAGGGTAGGTAAAACAATGATGCTGGAATGTGCCCAGAAATAGAATTGTTACTCAAGTCGAGTCCTTCAAGATTCTCAAAGCCTTCCCAGTCGGATGATATTCCTGTCAAATAATTTCCAGCTGAGTTAATATAACTGAGGTTTTTGGACAGCTTAAAAGATGGAAATGAACCCGTGAAGCTATTCCGGTCGAAATCCAGATAAACAAGCTTGGTTAGGTTTACCATAGAAGACGGAATTGGACCTGTAAAATTACATAAACTAAGGTCAACATGTGCCAATATGCTAAGGTTCTCAATGGACGTGGGTATACTTCCTGAGAATCCTGTATTGCTTAGAACCAGAGTTTGTAGAGATCCGTTTGAAGGAAATTCAGGTAAAGAACCTCCAAGCATTTCATTTTGTGATAAGTCAATAGTCTGTAGAGTTGGTACCTGGAATATCTTCTGAGGCGCTTCTCCTATCAAGTTGCAGGATCTTAGACTCAAGACAGTTAGATTGGATAAGTCCAAGAAGAACTCTGGAATTGGAGCAGATAAATTGTTCCCATCAACACGGATTACAGATAGAAACTTAAGATTTGCTAACGGATGGATACTGCCTGAGAACAATTCATCAGTAAGGTCAAGACCGATAACTTGACCTGCACCATTGCAAGTGATGCCCTGCCATCGACAGCAGTCAATCCTCTGATTCCACTTCACCAGCTTGGTGGATATTTCAGAATCATAAGTAAGATTATTTCTGAGCTGTAGCAGCAACGTCTTCTGATCCTGAAGACATTTACCGGAATTAGCTGCCACTACTTCATTCATTCTACAGCAGATGGAAAGTAGTAGGATCAAGACAAGCTGAGAAAACATTTGACTTCTCATTTTGACTTTGGACAGAGAAGGAAAATTGAAGCTTCTGCAGATCTGAAACGTATAAAATAGCAAAAACTTGCATGAGGATGCGGGCTCATCCTCGTGCGAATAAACAACGTGGATTCTTTTATCTATTTAGCTGCTTCTATATTATCTTTTGGCTTACAGATAAATTATTTTCCTATTTTAAGAGGGTGGGAAAGAGACATATAAGTAGTACAAGAAGATGATTAACTTGTATTAACTGCTATTAATAAGGGAGAACCGCAGGAGCTTCTTGACAGAAAAGTCCAAACATCTCAGTTTATGCCTTAATACTCTTCCTTATCTATTTTAGTGGACAAAATAAGCACACCTGACACCACTTACCAGGAACACGTGTGAAGAGTTATTGATATAGTGGGACCCTTATTTGCCATTTACACGTCCTATCATGATCCATGGGCCCCGCTTAAACAATGTGTCGGCCTATTTAGTTTGTTATGTATTGAAATAGAGAACGCTTGAAACAGGTTCTCTAAATTTGACATGCAGCGATTATCTTGGGGCGACCTATACCCATTTTTTTTAAAATTTTTAACTTGTATCTACTTCTTAAAAAACTTCAGCTCTCTTTCTCCTCCCCTTCTCTTCCTTCATTTTCTTTTTTCTTTTTCATTTTTACTTCTTAAACTCATCAAAGCCTCTGTTATTTTATGGTCACTTGAATTTACGTGTTGTTTCAACTGCACATCTATTTAAATTATCAATGGATTAACTTAAGCACGGAAATACAGTACATTTTCACACATTAATATAAAGATTACGTAGCTTATTTTTTCGAAATATGAACTGGGGAGGAATTTTACAGTGTTTGCATACTAGACTAGATATTGCATGGCATACGTAAAGGTGAGGGAAAAAGAAAAATCAAAAAAAGGAAGGCAAATCCCTATGTGCAAAAAACTTCAGCTCTAGAGCTGAAGTTTTTATTTTATAACTGGAGCTGAAGTTTCCCGGTTACTAAACAAAAACCTATAAAATAAAACTTCAGCTCTAGAGCTGAAGTTCGCGAGTTACAAAACAAAAACTTCAGCTATAGAGTTGAACTTCAGGCCCGACTACTAAAATGCTGAAGTTTTGTGTGATTGTCTTTGCTACTTCAGCCCCGTGTGCGAAAAAGTGGGTACGCTTGCAATTTTTTTTTGCAAAGCGAACACAGATTAAAATGTGGCACAAAAAGCGGGTTAGATGCAAATGCCCCAATTATCTCACATCCAATTTAGAGAAATGAAGCAATTATGTCACATCAACTGAACTTTTTCATATCTATAATTTATGAATATGGCCGACTAAAATTTGAATTTTGATGGTATTACCTTGTCTTGTGCTAATACTCCAGTTTATTGTTAAAAGGCAGTCCTACTTCATTTTTCACGAGTCATTTACCAAGTTTCAGAATTTGATCAAACATTGGATCGCATTTTTTAATCTGTGAGTTCAAAAGAATCAGTGTTCTTTTCCACTTGTATTTTCGTCCTCTCCACCGGTAAGTGGTCAAGTTCTTAATTTGGTTTAGTTAATGCTTAATAGTATCAGTATGGACTCATAGATCTTCTTGTTGATTTATGTCAAGATTTATCAAGCTTTATCTTTATATATATATATATTTCTCCATGGTTATTGTCTTCGACATAAACAAACGCGAATATAATATTATTCTTTTTTTATAAGAAAAGCAAAGGAGATTAGTTTTTCTTATTTTGTGATTTAATTATAGAAAAGATAGTTCCCAATTAGAATATTACATTATTAATTAGTCTGTTTGCCTTCTAGACTTTGGTAGCCGGTTGCCTGCATGCTTCCAGGAACTAATTGACCCGGTTTCAGACAGGGATGCTGCTGTAGTTTGATTGACTTTTAGCATGTGAATAATCGTAAATGAAAAGGTTATTCCCTCTTTTGTATAATTGGCAAATGATTGATTAATGTTTTCATAACTGCTCAGCTAAAGAAAATTATCCTCGTGGAGCTTAATTAACAGAGTCAAGTTAAATTAAAATACTAATTAGTACATTCAGATTAAAAAATGTATGAAACATATCTTTCCCATCTGGTATAGTTAATAACTTTGAAGCATATAAAAATTGACTTGTTGAGATCTCCAATACTGATATTTGTCCATTTCCCGATTGTAGTCATTACATCTACTTAAAATTATTGGTGAAAATACATATATAATTGACAAATTAAAATTAAAAATTGAAGGTGAGATACAGATGTCTCGCTCGGGCAGTGGTAGTACTTTTGGTTTGCTCATTCTAGCAGCACAACAATATAGCGGGTATTATCACTTTTAGTCCCCATCAGGAACTATTTACATCTGGTAGCCGAAAAAGCATATAAAATTTGTATATTTTTTGTATATAACATACAGAATGTATATATATACAAAAAATATATAAACTTTATACATTTTTTCGCCTATTATTTTTACAGCGACTATACAGTGTCATTTTTCAACATTATACATGACTAAAGAATAAAGTTGGATAAATTGTCAAATCTAAAGCTCCATGACGATAATATATTTCATCCACCGTAAAACTCCATTTTTATGTTGGAACAATTAATTAGGGTCTTTTCCTTCACATATCACAATTTTCATACACCACTAAGAATAAATAAATAAATAAATAATGTCTAAGAATTTAACTTTTTGATAAGGAGATTCATAGAAATTTGTTTAAAATCTACTACTGCATCTTTTTCCAACTAATTAGATGTTAGACTTAGACTGGATAGCAAAATAAAGATTGGAGATCATGTTACATTTTCAAGAATATTAAATTCGTTTTATGAAAATTTGAACTTTTAATATCAAAAGATTAAAAAAGAATTAAGTGTTCTTTTTGTTTTTCGATTGACTATGTTCTATAATACATATAACTAACTTGAATGAAACTTGACTTAAGAGTTCTTACCCAAAATTGGCGAAATCAAATGAACTCCATCTTAAATGAAAGGTCGATTAGAATTGTTAATAGCATCAGCAAATTGCCTGATGATCATTGTGGCAGTGATGGACAATTTTTCTCTCCAAAATGTGCATTTTTTGGCGGTGTGTTGTTTTTAAAGGAACACAAAATATATGCAAAACTTTGTACAGTACGACTTAAGAATATAAATCACAACGGAAGTCTGCTAATTTTAGCTTCATTAATAATTCACCGATAGAGAATGATTTTTTTTTTTTTTAAAAAGAAGTTTCTTATCGGAGAATGATTTTTTTTTTTAAAAGAAGTTTCTTTAGATAGAGTAATGAGTTATTTTTCAATATAGCATAGCACGTATTCATTAAAGGCGCAATTCAACTGATAAAACACTATTGAGTACACATATACATCGATGAATTTCTACATTTATCAAAGAAATTGACAACCATTGTTAATATAAGGGATTACCATATGAGAAAAAACTTTATTAAAAAATAGTTCGCTATTAGAGAATTATAAATGAACAATTAAACTTCTAATAAAATTTATATACAAGAATAAGGATGTTGAAAACGAAAATCGAGAATGAGGAAAAGCTAAAGTATATCAACCAGCACAATACATTAAGAAATGCGATGTATAATTGTATCAGAAATGCTACGCGTTTCATAAATTGGATCTAAAAATGAGCGTATCCGTAAATCGGGTAAAATTTCAGTTTCAGTAAACGGGAGCTACTGAGACCCTGATGAGCCGGTTGAACAAATGGGTGATCTGGGCTCTAAGACATTCCACCATCTTGGAATGAGATTACTCATATTAGTATTACTTGAATTAGAGAATCTAAAGACAAAATCACCATTAGATAATCATCATGCATAGCAATACATGTGTTATTATTAGATCAGTGTTACATTTTGCACTATTATTCTTCATATAACAATTTATATACTATTATATAATTTCTATATAACTACAAAAATAAGTAAAGATTATATGAGCATAAGAATATTAGCATCATAGAGTAGCTCATGATTTAGTAGGCTGTAGACCTATGAGTTTGAAAAAGGTACGTATGTAGTGGATGAAAACAAGGAGTAATGACTAATAAGTAGGTCTGTTAGTGAATACTAAGTAAACCATTAATGGGATAATTGGCTTCAAGAGTTGAACAAAAATTTACTGTATAACCAATAATATTGAAAAATCATAAAATTTGTAATATGAAAAGGTTCAAAAATTCCCATCACAACTCAATCCTCATTCTGTAAACCAAATATGAGAGCCGATTTTTGGAAATGACGTATGAAAAAAAGAAGTGCAGTGCACTAAGCTACCGTTATGCAGGTCCGGGGAAGGGCTAGACCACAAAGGTGTATTGTACGCAAACTTACCCGATATTTCTAGGAGACACTGTTTTCAGCTCGAACCTGTGACATGTGGTCTGGCTTTAATCATCTTGGAACTTGGCAGTGGGATTTCCTTGCTTTCTTTTTCCAGTATATTTCACTGATGCTAGTATTACGTTGTCGTTTCTTTACACCAACCTTGCTAAACACCCAGAAAATTAGTCCATCAATCAGCTTGTTGTAACATTCTCTCCATCTTCTGGAAACCAAGAGGGGTAGAAATATGATTGCCAAACCAGCAGCGAATCCTAATGCTACGCTTACATACATCTCTGTCCTGCTAAAGAACTGCCCCTCTACGTCTTCAGATTCTGGCTGCAGAGCTGCTTCTTCTATGTCACTATTGCACGTTTTGTGGAGTGGAAAGCCACACAGTCCCTTGTTTCCCACGAATGAACTTTCTGAAAACGTTTGCATTTGGTTGCCTTGTGGGATCATTCCAACCAGTTCATTGTATGATAAATTTAACAACGAAAGAAATGTGAGATCTGAAAGCTTTTCAGGGATACGCCCCTCTAACTTGTTGAATGAGAGGTCTAATGATTCCAGTTGCTTCAAATTTCCAACTGCCGCCGGGATTTGGCCAGTGAGAGCATTGTGAGACAAGTTGAGAAGACGAAGAGATTTGAGTTCTCCGACTGTCTCAGGTATGCCTTCAATAAAACTGTTATTCGACAAGTCAATGGAGTTGAAGATTATGAGAATTTTCCCTATGGTGACTTCTCGTCCTTTAAGAGAAAGAATGACTGAGTCCTGGTAGTAAGCTATTGACGCTGATTCAGACTGAAAATGCAGATGATAAAGGCGAGGATGTGGTTCCACTGAGTTAACCTTCATAGCTTCCAGATCCATGAATATATTTCTTGGCAGAATGCCACTGAAATTATTGGAAGCTAGATCAATTATTTGGAGAGCAGGCCAGGTGTAATTGACCCCAGAGCAATCAATGTTGCCATGGAAATTATTGAACCGTAGCACAAGTACATGGAGATTTGACAAGCTCTTCAACCAGCAGGGTAAGGTATCAGTTATCTTGTTGTTTCCCAAGTTTAACACCTTCAGTTTCCTGCAATTGGATATAGACCGAGGAATCTTCCCCTCCAAGTTATTCTGCCTTAGATCTATGGTCTCCAAGCTACACTTCTCTGAAAAGTTTCCAGGCAAATTACCCCTGAGATTGTTTCTTCCAAGGTTCAGCACTTTCAAACTACGGCTGCTTTGTTCAGCTAAACATGCTGGTATTCTGCCACTCAATTTGTTGCTGGACAAATCAAGTACTTCAAGATTGGTCGCGTTACATATTGAAGAAGGGATAGTTCCATTGATTGTGTTGTTTGCAATTGAGAGGAACACGACACTTGAGAGGTGATTGCCAATATCAGGTGGTATACTAGTAGTAAATTTATTGCTGGAGAAGTCTACATATAAAGCTGCACGTGGTGGTAATGGAATTTCCCCGGTGAGCAGATTCAAATGTAGATCAAGGGAATCTATATTGCGAAATCTGTAAGGCTCCTGCAGGTGTGTGAACTGATTACGAGATAGATTCAGATCAGTGAGACCTCCGTCCCATATCCAGTTTGGAATTTTACCTTTGATATGGTTGATCGACAGATCTAACAACGTCAACTCAGATTGCTTCTCAAGGAAAGAAATATTGTACAGATTGCAAGAGGCCAACCTTAAAATACTCAAATGGGGAAGCAAGGCGAGTTCTGATTCACTTATATTTGTGTCAACTGATAACCTATTGTAGGACAGAACAAGAGCAACAAGGTTCTTAAGCTTTGTGAACTTTTTCCATTTCACAGTACCATTGAATTTGTTGTAAGAAAGTGCAAGTTCTTGCAGATGGTGTAGCTCAAAGAAAAACTCTGGTATTGGCCCTTCCAATTTATTGCCAGCCAAATAAAGCTTTATCAGTGAAGAAGAAGTCACATTCTGTAGTTCAGTTATTTGGCCAGTAAAATTGTTGGCGGACAAATCTAAGAACTGAAGTGAGGGTAGGGAAAACAGTGATACTGGAATTATCCCAGAAAGTGAATTTTCGCTCAAAATAAGGACTATAAGATTCTCAAGGCCAACCCAGTGAGAAGACGAAATCTCACCGGAGAAATTATTTCGTTGAAAATTTATCATAGTAAGATTTTTGGATTGCCTAAAGGATGGTACTGATCCAGTGAAGAGATTCTGGGAGAAATCCAGATAACGAAGCTGGGTAAGGTTTTCTATAGAAGATGGGATTTGACCTGTAAAATTGCAATCCAAAAGTTCAAGATCAATCAGCTTAGTAAGCAACCCAATGGACTTGGGTAAACTTCCTGAAAAATTTGTATAGCTGAGAACCAGACTTTCTAAAGATGCATTTGAAGGAAATTCAGGTAAAGAACCCCGAAGCACATAATTGTATGACAAGTCAATTTTCTGCAGAGTTGGTACCTGGAATATTTTCTCAGGTACTTCTCCTGTCAAATTACAGGATCTTAGACTCAAGACTGTTAGATTGGAGAAGTCCGCAAAGAATTCTGGAATTGGAGAAGATAAATCATTCCAATCAAGAACGATAACTGAAAGAAACTTAAGATTAGGTAATGCAGAATTATTGATACTGCCCGAGATGGATTCATAGCTAAGGTCAATACCAATAACTTGACCTGCAACATTGCAGGTGATACCCTGCCATTGACAGCAATCAATCCTCTCGTCCCATGTTGCCAGCTTGATGGATGCCTCAGAATTATAAGTAAGGTTATTTCTGAGCTGCAGCAGCAACACCTTCTGACCCTGAAGACATTTGCTGGAATTAGCCGCAACTACATCATTCATTCTACAGCAGATGGAGAGTAGAAGGATGAAGAAAAGCTGGCGAAACATTACTTATTATTTTGAGACTGTGACCAGAAAGGAAAGTTGAAAGGTTTTGCTGATGTGAAACGGTATTATATGGAGTAGCAAATAGTTGCATGAGGCATGGGGGATCGAGTAAATTAAACAACGTGATGCCTTTCTTGATGTTTGTAGTATCATTTTTTTAAAACTTATCCTTTGGGTTTGGCAATCTGTGAAATGCTGATGCCTTTCATGGATCATCACCTTATTTCGTCCCAACAATATATTATGTTTTATTTTGTTGTAGTTAGGTGTCATTTGGTTGGGAAACAAGTTATTCCAAGATTAATTATTTCGGATTAATTATCACAACTTTATAGAGATAAAAATAACACTATAATTTCAGAATAACTAATTGCGAGATTAGTTATACTGCAATTTTATTCCAATCAAACCTACTATGGACTCATTTCAAATTTAATTTAGTGATTAATTATTTCTTATTGCTCCCGCAAGTTAAGTTCAACGACGTGTGTTACAATCGAAACCGACATCCTCCGTGTGTATTCACTGGAATTTAGCCAATTTCCTTGCAGGGCATGCTAACTGTTGAGTCAACGAGTCAAAGTTGGAATGCTTCATTTTCTCCTCTCTTTCTTGACTGTTTAATTTATTTATTTGCCATGTGATTCCACATACAGTTATTTTAAATTGTCCGGCTTCATCTTTTCACACTTGCTTTACTAAAGAAAGCAATCTTAATTAGGATTCTGAGACCGAGAGATTCTGCTCTTTCATTCTTTCCTTCTTTTTAAATAAAACTAAACTTGTTTTCTTGGATTTAAATTTGTATTTTGAATAATATACTAAAAATTTATACTAGATAGTGAAGGATTGAAAGAACCCGAAAAGTAATTTAGGCACAAGCAAAAAATTCGGCAAAAGCTATATACAGAAATTTATTAAACTAGGGAGAGAACTTGTGTAACGACCCGACTAGTCGTTTTGAGAATTTGTACTTCGCTCGGTAGTTTACGGGTGTGAGTAGCTTCATATAATGTATTTGACTTATGTGAATCATCGGTTTTGGTTTTCAGGTTACGCGGGACTGATTTGGAAGAATGATTCTCAACTGGGGAGCTTTAAATTTGAAAGAGTTGACCGAGCTTGACTTTTTAGTATTTGACCTCAGATTGGAACTTTGATGGTTTTGTTAGCACCGTTGGGTGATTTTAGACTTAGAAGCGCGTCCGGATTGTGATTTGGAGGTCCGCAGTTGAATTTGGCTCGAAATGGCGAAAGTTGAATTTTTTTTGGAAAGTTTGACCAAGAGTGGACTTTTGATATCGAAGTCAGATTTCAATTCCGGAAGTTGGAGCAGGCCCGTAATGTCAAATATGACTTGTGTGCTAAATTTAAGGGTAATCGAACGTGATTTGATAGGTTTCGGCATCGGTTGTGAAAGTTTGAAGTTTCAAGTTCATTGATTTTTGGATTGAGGTGTGATTCGTCGTTTTGATGTTGTTATGTGTGTTTTGAGGCCTCGAGTAAGTCCGTGTTATATTATGGTATTTGTTGGTATGTTTGGATGTGGTCCCGAGGGGCTCGGGTGAGTTTCGGATAGGTTTGGGTTGTGTTGCGCTCGTTTTTTTTGTTTCGACGTTGTTTCTTCAAGCATAAAAGGTACTATATTAAGCAAATAAGCTCCAGTTTCTGTTTTTTGAGGCATTAGATCCGTATCGTAATTACGGAGTCATAGAAAAAAGAATATCAAATTTGGACATCGTATGAAGAATTTATGGTCATTTTACTAAGAATTGAGTTGTCAGATTTTTCAGATTAATTACGAAATTGTCACTGATTTCGTATTTAAAAATATGCTATATTTCCAAATATTGAAACCAACATATCTCCTTCAATATAAGGTCAAATGGAGTGATTCAATAGCCTAACTTAACTAGAATTTCACAAAGAATCCATTGGAGGCATCAAAAACGAGTTTTGAGATCATTTGTCACAAGAAACGAGGCAGAACAGTGTTAAAATGAGGGTTTTATTCATTTAACATATTTTGAGTTGGGGAGCTTGGAATTGGGTAATTTTTAGGTGATTTTTATCAGATGAATTGGGATTTGATTTAGGATTCGATCTTTATCCTTTGGAACTGTTTCCTAGGGCTTTATTTGATGTATTTGAGTTGCTTTTGGCTAGTTTTTAGCCGTTCAGAGGTCACTACGCGCGTGATAGAATTTTTGGAGCATCGCTTGGCTTGATCGATATTGTAATTGGCTTGTTCGAGGTAAGTGTCTTGCCTAACTTTGTTGAGGAAATTTTTTCTCTTATTTCATGCGGGGGTGATACATATATGAGGTGACGAGCGTTTATGTATGTGTCGGGGTTAATCATGCTCAGGGGTAGATTATGTTATATTTGTGTTTGTAGAACTTCCTGACCTTCCTGCTTCATGTCTTACTTGACTCTTAATGCTAAGAACATAATATTAGATAATAGAAATCAAGACTTAGCTTATTATAACTTGATCAAACTTGACGAAAATTCTAAGAATACATTGATATGTCTAGTCCGGTCATCTCTATGCGAAATCACTATTACATTACTACGGCTGATATTCTTGAAATACTAGACTCTATACTTGTGTAATGGATCATTTGTGAGATTTGTGGAAGTATTTGAATAATACGATTCTTAACGGTTGTTGAATCATTGTTGACTTGAAAAGTTGTGATTTGGAATTTGTTTGGAATATCCGTTAAAACACTCTCCTTGATGTTATTTATACTTCCCGCCTTATCATTTTATTGATATTCATATGCTTGGTAAGGAAGAGTGTAAAACACGAATGGTGATGCCGTGTCATTTTATCTATATTATCATGTGAGGAAGAGTGTAAAGCACGAAGGGTGATGCCATGCCATTTTATATACATTATCATGTGAGGAAGAGTGTAAAGCATGAAGGGTGACGTCGTGCCACATTATTGAGAGTAAAAGCACGAAAGGTGATGTCGTGCCATATCATTTGAGAGTAAAATCATGAAGGGTGATGCCGTGACATATCATTTGAGAGTAAAAGCACGAAGGATGATGCTGTGTCATTTCATTTATATTGTTATGCTTGTATGTTATCGTGAGGTCATGATAGGATGAGTGTTTCCGTGCAGGCGAGGATGAGGTACATGCATTATATTTGATATTAGTCTTCCGTGTATACGTTAATGTCTTTACCTTGAACTATTATTATTATAATTATTGATCTGATCTAACATGTTGCTATTGTCCTATCATTGATCTCTATCTTAATTGTTGTTCTGTTGCTCATACCTTCTACTCGCTTAACTTGTAAATACCATGTCTATTTCCTGCTTTTATAATTATGCTCATATCGAATCTATTTTGTTGCACTTTAGTATAAGCCTTCCACCATGCTAGCCATTCATGCTCTTATTTGTCAACTTGTAAAGATTATGTGTTTCTTTCTTATTTGTTATATATGTACTTAGGCCTCCAATATGCTAGTTAATTGAAGTTGATATTCTTTGTTTTTCAATTGTTATTATTATTCACGTGCTTTCCACTCTGTCTTTTACTGTGCCCACATGCGTATCCTTGTCTGTTGTTGTTACTTGCGTATTTCCTACTTTGTAATTCCTGTTATCGATATTTCTGTCATCTGGTTGGTTTTGTTACTCGTACATTTGGGAGGATGAGTTGAACACACAAAGGGTGTTGTTGTGCTAATTGATTTGTCACAAAAATTATTTTATATATGGTGAGGCAAAGATAGAAGCACAAAGGGTGTTACTGTGCCGTTTTACTTGATATCTTGGATATACTTCTCATACCAGGAAATACTGTAAATCTTCTATTGTGATTCCTTTTAGTAATTGTTGACTGTCTCGCGAGTTATATATGATACTTTTATCTGTTATGCTTGAACTGCTTTTACTGTTAATCTAATGTACAAGTTATAACAATAAGCATCTTTTAACTAAAAGCCTTGTCACTACTTCGACGAGTTTAGACAAAATACTTACCGGTATATGGGGCCGGTTGTACTGATACTACACTTCTGTACGATGTGTACAGATTTCTGAAACGGAGTTGCTGGTGATGTCGGGTGCTGATTCAGAAGATGTTCGCGCATTTCGGGTATAGCTGCCTCTTGTCCTTGGCAATTTAGATTTTACTATTCTATTTATGTATCATTCAAACAGAACATATATTTATTCGTACCAGTTTTGAAAATTCCAAGTCTTAGAAGCTCATGAGTCGTACTACCATGTATTAGGTAAATTGTAAATATTTAGTTATCTATTCTTTATTTTCTTATAATCTCTGTTGAGTTATATTGTCTATTAGTTGGCTTACCTAGCGGGTTGAGTTAGGTGCCATCACGACCAGTGATTTTTGAGTCATGACAACTTGGTAGGAGGCTTTTTCACAACTCATAAACTCTTGAATCTCTCTACATCGTAACTACATCTCCACAATAGAAAAATATGTAGTATCACCCCTATTTATAATACTACAAAATCAAAATTAACTAGAATCTAGAAAACCTATTCTTACATGATTTTGGTTGTGAATCTTAATTAGACATAAATTAAATAAACTAGAAAATACCAAATCTTATACGACATAGAAATATTAATTAATCTTGGTTTAATTTCTAACAGCCTCCCTTAAACCAAGATCTTCAAACTTGAGCATATAACGAGTAACACAAATCTTGTAGAAGTCAAATACCTTAGGTTTTCCACCAATTTCCTAAAATATGTTGCATCAACAAAGTCATGAGTACCATCTTTAGTTAACTTCAATTTTTCTTCAATATTGGTCATACTTGATTTGGCTTTAACCATGGTAAATTCCTTCAAAGTATCATCAATATACTTTTTTTTTACTTTGAAATCATCTACTTCTCTGGTTGCCTTGTAGTTGGACTTATACAACCATTCAACTCCAATTTTTCATTCTATAAAGTGTAGAGGAATGTTACCAATAAATCTTTTCTCTTGCTCCTTAAAACATACAATCTCGAACAATGGCACGAAATTGATTAAATATTCAATATCTATAATCATGTGTTGTTCTGGTTCTAGATCCCAAGCTATTTCTACCTCAATCTTGGGTAAATTTTTAGAA